GGTGGAGATGATGGGCACACGGGGCCACGGGATGGAGCTGTTGGGTGGAAATGATGGGCACACAGGGCCACGGGATGGAGCTGTTGGCTGGAGATGATGGGCACACAGGGCCACAGGATGGAGCTGTTGGCTGGAGATGATGGGCACACGGGGCCACAGGATGGAGCTGTTGGCTGGGCCGTGAGAGTGACGGGTGAGCTCCGAGGAGCAGGAAGGGGACAGTGCTGTGGGGTGACACAGCTCCCACACTGGATGTGTCGGGGTGAAGCAGGTCCAGGGCTCATCACCCCTGGACAAGGGCACTTGCTGTCACTCTGCAGATCTGTCCTGTCCCAGGACTGAGAGCTGGGCTCCTGCTGGCAATCACTGCCGTGGATCCTCCATCCCAAGCGGGGTCTCCTGAGCTTGCCCTGCTCACTGTCTGGGTTCCTCAGGCTCCAAGCACTCTGCCCACGGCTGGTGGCCCCCAGTGGGCTTGGCCTGGCTCCTGTGACACCCGTGGCTGCCTTGACTCTGCAGGGAGGGGCAGCAGGGCCACGGGAGGTGCCACTGCCACATCCTCCTCCCTGCTCTGAGGGCTGTGTCACTGCCGGGCTCGGGGGAGCAGGACAGGTTGGGCAGTGCCAGCTTAGCTCCCCGGGCTGAGGTTCATGGGGCTGCTTCAGGCCAGGGCACAAGTGATCCCTCCTTGTGGGTCACAGCACCCTGGGGACACATTCTGCCTCTGTTTGTGTCCCTTGTGGGGACTTTGTGTTCACCTTTGCTGCCCCCAGCCCTGGTGGGACAAGAGGGGACAGGGAGGGGACAGCTCCAGTCCTGTGGTGTGCCGTCCTTCAGCAGAGGAAGCCACGAAGGGTCCCCATGGGGTTCAGGTTCCCCAGGGCCAAACCTGGGGCTGTGTCCAGGACAAGCTCCATGTGAAGAGCTGGAAGGCTGGATGTGCCTGGAGGAGGGGGCCGGGGGTCTGTGTCCCTCTGAGCCCTGAGTCTGGCACTGCTTTTAACCGTGTCAGAGAGGGTGCAGCTCCCCAGGACTATCAGAGTTTCAGTGTGTGAGTGACAGGAATTGGCTGCGGGGGACAGGAATTTGTCTTGCAAAAGCTTGTCGTCCATCGGGGCTCGTGTTGCAACTGCAGCTCTGCCGGGGCAGGAAGGGGGGAAGGAACCGGCTGGTGATGGGGAAGTACCGGCGGTTCCAGTTGCCAGGGGGCAAATGGGGAGGGAGAGGAAAATAAAGCTCTGCAGGAGGGGAGAGGAGAAAGCAGGAGAGAGGACGAGGGGAAGGGTCAAAGCAGAGGAGGGAGCTCCTGCGGGGAAGGAGAGTGGAGCCTGGGAGCCTCCAGCTGTGGCTGATCACAGCCCCCTGTCCCTGGGGTTGGCTCTGGTGTGGCAGTGCCCGCCCTGCCTGGCAGCTCTGCTGTTCCGGGCCAGCTGAT